CAGCGCAGCATTCTATGACATTAGCAAGGCAAGGTGCACGCAAGCTCGCAGCGGCGCTTTGCCTGTGACTGCTGATGAGGCCAAGGTTGACGGGCTTTGAGAAAGAAGGTTGGAGCCATCCTTCAACATCATCTCATCGAGTCCGAGCGCCTGGTGGCCGTTGGGCGAGGTGCTTCTCGCAAGCTAGCGCCTGCCAAGCACCTGACAACGACCACTGCCATGCTGTTGCGGGAGCAGCTCCAAGCACTAAGGGGAAAGCTTTGGCGCGGGGCTTCCAAGAAGTGACCCTTCACGGCTTTTTGGGCTTTGGTTGGTTGCCTTTCAATTGCTCCTTGTGGCAGTTGTGCCTTTCAAGCCCTTCGCCATTCCATGCTCGCTTGACTGTGGTGCTGGCCTTTTTGACGTGTAGTTGTTCTTTGGTTGGGGCGGCCTAGAGCTGAGCCGCAGACAAACCGATCTTGTTTTCCCACGAAGGTTTACGCCACCAGGCTACAGTTTATACTTCCTGGGTGTGATCGGGCCTGGGCGGTGGTCAGAAAGCAGTTATTCTAGCCAGGCGCCCTTGTTTGACAGAACGTGGTAGAGCGCCCGGACTTCCCAGGATAAGAGGCAACAGTTGGAGGTTCAAGCCCCGTCAAAGCTGCAGCCGCTCAGGGAAAACACAAACGATTTGCCAGGCCCGCGTGAATCAATATTGGCGCTGCAGTGATCCCTGTTGCCAACGCTTTTCACAAAAAAAGTTGGTGGAAAACAAGCTCAATATCTAGTTGTGCTGGCTTGGCAAGAAAGAGACGCAAGCCGCGGAAGGCGCGGAAGGGAAATGAGACCGCGGAAGCAAACACCCGCAGCGCGGAAGCACGCGGAAACACCAAATGATATCATCGCAAATTTGGCCTATTGATTTTGATCACCTGCAGTTCAAGCCTTGGGTTTTGCCTGGGCCCTGCAAATCCGAGGGGTTTACTGGAATTTGTAAGTCGGGTGAAGCAAAATGCACTTTGGTTTAGGGAAAGGAAACGGAAGCTGAGAGCCTCAGAGCTCCCACGAAAACATGTTTGCGGCTTGCCTCACCGATGCTCCGGGGAGGACTTTTGAAACACGACAGTGGTCTAGGGGTTGATTCCCCATCCTTTTCAAACATCGTTCTTTTCTAAAACCGGCTGTTCCCCCAACGTTTTTCATGGTTTCCTTGAAAAGAAGGATCCCTGGAAAGAATGAGGAAGGTGCTCCTAGAATTGGATTGTCTCATGGAACCTTGCGAAGAGTGAGGTTCCTTCACTTGGCTTTAGAGCAACCCCAAGAAGGCTTCCGTCAAAGCAAGACACACCCGTACAAGCAGCAAGCCGAGAGCGGTCCAGGAGGGGTTTCTGCAGGTTCCCATGTTGAGAGCAGCTTTACATGTGAAGAATCTCGGGAGAGTCTGGCAGGGCTGATCCTGGGGACAGCGGGTCCATGTCCACTTCCATGTTGGAAAGAGGGTACCCCTTAAAATCGTGCACACATTGCATTGGGAGGAACACTCCACGCACCATTTTGCACGCTGACGCCGGGGTTGTTCTTGCTGGTGCTGGCCCTTCCTCCGGAAAATCGGAAAAACGATTGGGATTTGTCACCTCAGTTTGAAGCCTCACAAGCGAGCAGGCCACAATACTCTGGCAACCTCTCCAAGCGACGAGAAGACCTGGAAAAACTTCGTTGAGGCAGGTGAAGACACTGACGACCTCAGGTTCGTTGAAGAATACGGGCAATTTTGGCAGGCACATGGGGGGCAGTTCTAAGTTTCGCCAGAAATCGGGGCACTCTCGAATTGACCTATGTGTACAGTCAGCTAGCTGTTGACTGTGACGCAGATATCGGAATTCGATGTGTGTCCCCAACTGTCCCACGTAAACGCTTTGCACCTCAACCGCCTTGCCTCAGAAAAGTGCTGCAGGCTCTCGCGGGCTCGCAGCTCTCTCTAAAATCGGCTTTCTCGCAGGCGATGCGCTCGCACCCAGATGAGCCAAACTCCGGTCAGATGAAAGGCTATCCGCCTGATTGGAGTGTCCTGGATGCCGCGCCGGCCGGTTTGGCGGGCGATGTGAAAATCTCACGAAGGGGGTGCAGACGGAAAACGACTTAAGCAACATGAATGCAGCGTCTGACATTCTCATCCCTGAGATCTTATATTGGAACTGCGATGCGCTTGTGAATATGTCGTAGATGGCTTGCTATTCTGATTCTGAGATCCGCCCCAAGAAAAGCTGCGATGTTGAGCCCAACGTTACTAAGCTATTTGCCAGTTGTGATTAACAGATCTCCCCTCTTCCCGGTTGAGCCCTCTCCAAAGAAACAATGTTATGAAGCTATTTGCCCGTTGTGATTAACAGAGCTCCCCTCTTCCTGAAAAGGCCCTCTCCGAAGAAACATGGAGGCGCACAGACCACATTCGGAAGGCGATGGTTCCTTTGCAAATAAGAAATCGTGTGCTCCAAGGTGTTTGTTGGTTGGAGGGTTGTCAAAGGTAAACGTGGCCATGATGTTTAAAAAGCAAGCCCTCAAAATGGCCATGGGTCAAAATCCCGTACCCCCAGTGAACATCCCATTCCCCACTAAAATAGTCTAAAATGGGTGGTGCACCTACCCCAAAATGGTACCATTGGTTTTGACCCACAGCCAAATGGTTGTGTATCACTTGCTGCATTTTGTATGTCCACAACGGGGGTTTGTCACCACTTGCATTTGGATCCTACATGGGATCGATCAAGTCACCCTCGGGGAGTAGATCCACGTTTTCCAACTTGTTGTTTGGGTTCCAATGAGCCACAATCCAAACCCGGATAGATGAAGGTTAGTAAGGGACGATCCCGACCATCAATAGCTGCGGCCGCCTTCTTAGTTCTTTACATGGTTCTGGGTGCACCATTATTGTACCGGGTTTTCATTATGACTCAAACGGTCAATATGTTCCCTTTGTTGTATCCTTCGGGTTGGTTGCAACCAGATATGCCTTGATCATGGATCCTATGATTGCTGTTAAGACAACCGTGGCAAGGGTCACTTGCAGTGGCATACATTCCTAGTCGATTTCCCAAGTGGGTCAGTATCCCTTTGCATTTTGCAGAAAACAACGCACAATGAAGCATGGGATCCCGAACTCGGAACGGTTGAGAGATATGGATCGATGTTTTTTGGGCCTCGGAATCTGACGCTTTCACCAACCATTTCGCCAGGTGAAGAAGTACCTCGCGGAGACTGGGTCCTGGTTAAAGCTGCACAGCCGTCGGACCCAGATCTCGACGAAAGCCGACGGCGAAACACCGTTTTTGGAGAAGGGAAACCTAGGAAGAAACGCCCATTTTGGGGGGACCACTTCTGTTCCATCCTGTATGAAGAGGTAATTGGTATATCAGAGGTGCAGGGTTACCTTCTCCACAGAATCCTTTGAGCCCTTTCGGCATCGAACACCGGGCCCGAATCTCTTGGCCAGAAAACCCGCGCACGATTCTACTTCTAGTTGAGAGAAGTTGTGCGTTTGTTAAATTGTGCGTTTGCGCGTTTGTGCGTTTGTGCGTGTGTTTCTGTGCGTTCGTGTGTTTGTGTGTGGGTGTGTTTGTGCTTGTGTGCGTGTGTGTTTGTGTGTGTAGGATACCCTTTCGGGGTGGTTTAACACTCCAACAGGATACACACCTTTTTTTTTTGCGGGGGGAGGTGGGGCGTCGCCACATTTGGATACATACCCGTGTTTTGTTTGCCAAGTTTTGTCGGCAAACCGTCTTGAAAGACTGTGAGTCGGGTTGTTTGGAGTTCACTACATATGCAGAATGCCGCTGCCTGAGGCTGGGATACAGAGAGATCAGACGGAGGTGGAGTGCGGGGAGAGAAGTCGGTAACGGAGCAGCCAACGACGACGGAATCCGTCATTGACCCTATGCAGGCTTCATTGTCTGCCATGATTTAAGGACCAGAGACTTGAATCTAGCCATTTCAGCCAGCTTTGTCGCCATGATAGTGCTTTGACTGTCAAGCAGTCATGGTCCATTGTTCTAGCAGCTTCATCAAAATGATGGAGCAGAAACAAAGCGAAGCCCGAGTACAAAAAGGAAGCGAGACATGAGCCAGCAATGGCTTGACAAGCAAGCTTTTGACAGTTTGACAGTTTGTGCCTTGTGTTATGTGTTGTTCTGCTTTGTGGTGCTGCAGACACAAACGCCTTGCTCGATGATGAAGCCGCGCGGCACCACCAATACCGAAACATGTGTTGTAGTTGCACCACTCTGTTGAGAAACACCCATGTGTTCGCAGCGAGACAATTGATCCCTCGCCATTGGTCAGCTTTGAAGCTAACGGGAGGTCCCACGGACTTGGGCACCGCGTATCGTTTTCAGACGATGCTTGGAATGAATGTGTTTGATCTTGCTTGGTAGAATGTGTCTACAGTACGCGGATGCGCATCGGCCAAGCGTTCTGCAGCCAGATCTGTATCTTCAAAGGAGTTTTGCAACGGCGACATGGTTGCTTTTGTTTCGAACAGCATGAAAGTCATTGGTGAACTCTCGCAAAATACAGAAAACCTTCAAGTAACATGCAACCACATCCTTGTCTATGCGGGTGTGTCAAAAAATTGTGGTAGCCCGTGGGTCGGTTTTAACTGCACACCAAAGGGAAGGCATTTTGTTTTGGTTTTCCAGTTTTGAAACCCTTGCCCAGATGCATCGCCTCAGTCCCTCAAGGGACGCCTTTGCTACTCGCTTTGAAGACAAGGGCGAGATAGAGACGAAGATTTTGCTTCAGAGGACTTTGCCACCCCATCCTAATTTCTCTAGGTCACCCAGTAGCGCCCTTTTACCCTTTTTGGGGGAGGGTTCCCCACTAAAATAGACTACAGAAAAAAGGTCACCCTTATTCTAACCTCTCTACTGGAGGACCTAGTTCTGTTGGCCCTTGTTGTGTTTGGAGTTTAGAGTGATTGAGGTCATGGATGTAATCCCAAGCGTTCACGCGTCTTTGACTTTGGCTGCATGGGCAGCTGCAGAAATTCCAGAGGCCTGAGCCTTTTGAGAGTTGCACCGTCCAAGAGCGATCTGAAAACCCAAGGTTCAAATGGAGTCAGACTCAAAACCAGGGCAGATGAAGGTTAGTAGGGACGATCCCAACCATCAATAAGTGCGGCCACCTTTTTAGTTCTTTACATGGTTCTGGGTTAACCATTTTTGTACCGGGTTTTGATTATGACTCAATTGAGGTTTCTTCTTTGTTTCCTTCTGTGAAGGGTTGTTACCAAAGGTCTTAGCTCAGTTTGCTTGACAATCATCTTGCTGCTGATTGTCAATGGATTCCACAAAAAGATGCCGAATGGACTTGAGCTTGGGCCAACCCCGTGTTTAAACATGAGCTTACCACACACACACACACACATTGATCCATATATTGTTTAGACCATGGTTCTGTTGGGGGGCTCGGGTGCGGGTTGTTTAAAGGATCTTTGCCTATGGTTTCGTGAAGAACTCCCTTCCACCACAATCAAAATCCGGGTAGATGAAAGGTAGGGGCAGTCCCAGCCAGAAATAGTTGCGGCCGCCTTTTTAATTCTTTACATGGTTCTGGGTAGACCACTTCAATAGCGGGTTTTGATTGTGACGCACCTTGGGATTTCAACGTTTGGGGCAAACTCTGCGCTCCGCAACTGAGTTTCTTGCGAGGCCGCAGCTGTGCCTGCTGGGCCCCACGACGCCACACCTGGTCACGGTCCAAGATGATGTGCCTGTTTGATACCTTGGGTGTGAAATCGCAACCATGCTTTGTGTATGTTTTCCTGGGAAACCAAAAAGCAGGACCCCCCTATTTTGCACCCAGTCATTCCCGTGAAATACTCCACTTTAAAGGTGATTGGTGGGCATATGAACTTGATCCCAAGCTCCTTCACCCATTGGGGAACCCCACTACAAGCATGATATTTCCCACTATGGGCCAAGTCACCCATGGTCATTTGGGGATTTGGGGGCCAGGAATATTGGTCAACCCCCATTGCCAAACCCTTGGCCTGACAGCCCAAGAAGCATTGTGAGAGGAGCCTCCGTTGGGGCCTTTTTAATGGGGTGTCATGTCATGTGAACAGATTTGTTTATTTTGTTGGAACAAAATTAGTTGGAACACCGTTGGGGATGATTTTTGGTTATTTTTGTTTGCAATTGACAGTCTTAGCACAATGAACCGAGAAGAAAGCACGGCAACCCAAATCCGAGATATGCCTGGTAATGCGTTTGTGTGTCGTTTTTGGTACCCATGTTCTGTGATTAGGGCAAGCCAACGAACTATTTTGGTTGGCTCCCATCGTGAGACCATATCTTATTTTGCAAAACTGCGTCTTTAAACGTCAAAGGTTGGTGGCCCTTTTGAAGTGAGTTCCTACTATCTATCTCATACATATATATATATATATACATACATATATACATACATAGGCCGAGGGATGATTTTACGCTGGGCAAGCCCTGTTGTTGAACTACACCCGAGGATTATAAGAAAAGAGTTGATTGGCCCTGAAGGGACTGGACCCCCTAGATGGAGCCCTGGCTGCATAGATCACCCAGTAATCCCGCACCAAACAGCTCGGTTGTCCCAACCTTGGGAACCACTCATGCAAGATCAAGTTGGTGTAGATACAAAGTCGACTTCACTAAGCTTTCCAGGGGCGTCCGGCACCTGGCCCCATATGCTCAAAAGGACTCTCCGAGGGTCTTGGAAATCGACACGCGGCTTGAAAGTGCATCTCTTTCGGTGAGTCGAGGCACGGGAAGCCGCGGAGAGCGCTCCGTGATGAGGTGCTCGCCTCAGTGACTCTAGCACCCAAAACCCCTGTCGGCTGCTGTAGCGCAGGGGGGTCTACCACCAGGTTTTATGGGAAGTTGGGCCCTGGACCTTCAAACCATGTTGGTACCACAAGTCAATACGTTTTGGGCGCTGCTCACTTGAGATCAAGCACACTTTTTGTTGCACGGCCTTTGCACATTCTTGAACCGCTGTCGTGTGTTCTTTTGGACCTACAACATGCACTAGTCACACATCCAGTTGTGTTACTATGGACATAACCAGTCATTCAACTAGTCCGTGCACAATTTCTTTTCGGCGCTACCTTGCTTTTGCGAGACGCGTGACACGTCCTGAATCGCTCAGGGCGAGATAGTGATCCACGTCAGCGAAGTGGAGGGTGGAAGTTCCCTTGAGCTCGGGAAGGCGAATGAGATACCAGCGGGGTTTGCCTTGGCTTCTGCTCTTTTTGCCCTAGGCCCTTTTGGGTTTCTTTCATTCCCCTGCTTTTAGCGGAGAAGGACATGGTTTGCCGGAGTTCCACTCATTTGGCCTAGGTTTGGGAAGAAGCCCTAAAAAGAGAGGGTCCCAAGCCATTCCTACAAGACTTCAGTTTGTGTCTATGTTTTTTGTCAAGGCAATCACTGAACCATTCCCCCGGTTTTTGTGCTGCATACCAGCCGGCGGACGGCCATGTGGGTTACAGTTGGATTGAGTTCGGGTGCAGGTGCGGCGAGAGGCTGCCACAAGGCCCCGGTGTGAGACGCGATCGGGTTGACTGGGTTTGAGGATAATCATACAGGGCTCCTTGAAAGATCTCCATTTTGCAACCATTTGAAACATGGCGTTTTCAACACCAAAATAAGAGGAAACCACCAGTGACAAGGCAATGTTCAGGTGTGTAATGTAAGGATCCCTGTTGTATCTTGGTTTGAAGGGCAGCCAAAAGGACATCCGCTTTTGGGGTCGCATTTTGACACAGCTCCCCGTTTGGAGGTAGGTGGCTTCCATGTTTGCCCAACAGCCCCGTAGCATCCCAAGCTCAGGACTCAGAACCCGCGCCCCGGTTGCATATCCAAATAAGGAACTCAGTTGATTTTTGTTGCGCCAACCCCAAAATAGGTACCCTCCACGCCCAGCTGATCCATTGACTGGGTTCTGTTTGGTGGCATGCAAAATATGTATACCTTGCCCGACGCCACCTGCCCCTTCTTCACTCTGGCAACATGGCAGCACAGCATGAGATCGGTCATGCTTAGCGTTGAACATGCGTTCCCTACAAGTTGTGTGTGTGTGTTTAGCATCACGCTCACACACAGCCTCAGCTAGAGAAAAGCACTAGTTCTTTGGAATTCGACCAGACCGTACTTGAAACATTTATCATGTGCTTTGTCAATTGACCCTTTGCTCATGCCGCAATCCGTCCCCAAACAACCGCTCCGCCTTTGAATAAATGGCGAGATATCCAAGAGATCTATCCTCCCAACAAGAGGCCTGGAATTGCACGGACAGCTTTTGGAGTTCCAGGGTTGTTGTGCACCAAGGACAGCTATCTGATTGAATGACAGTGGGGTGGGGTGCCCTCATTTCACAGCTACTTGGGTGAGGCTCTAAAGTCGGTTTTTCTCAAACCAACCCCACAAAACATACCGCAAAAGACAGTCCCATTCGGGTTTGCCATGAAACGAAAGCGAGAGGTCCACGAGCCGCGTGACTTGAGGTCCTGGGCGTTCGCTGCCTGGAAACAGCCGCGCTCCAATGCCCGGCGAGTGGCGCTGCAGGCGACGTGGATGGTGCCTAGGTCCCCAAGTAGTGCCCTTTTGCCAACTTTTTTGGGGGAGGGTTCCCCTGCTAAAATAGACCACAGAAAAAAGGGTACCCTTGTTCCAACCTCTCTACTGGAGGACCTATGGCTTGGTAGTCGCACCAGCTCGCACAATGAACACGTCACGAGCACCCACGCAGGAAGATGGTAGAGGCCGTTACACGTGAAAGACTCGCAATGAACATTTGGAGGTACCCGAGTTCGTTCCATTGGACAGGGCCGCCAAAGAAAGCATTGGGCGAATGCGGTTGCTCATTTGGTTCTGCCCAGATCAACCTTGTTCCCTTCAGAGCGCTGGCAGGCATGTGACCTGCAAAAAAGCCCCTGTTTCGAGCCACTGTTTTGGCATGCAAATGCTGCTGTGGCCTCAGCGTAATCACAGTTTTCACGTCAGTTGTGGGCCGTACAATTCTAGCGACATGTTTTAGATTTTGTGTGTGTGCGTGTGTGTTTTGCCTGGTTGTTGTTGCTTTTTACTTGCTTGCTGGTTTGTTCGTAGATCTACAGCCAAGTTTGCAGATCCACGCAAATGCTGGTTTGTTGCCCTGCACCCTCGTCTAAAGGCCTGATGTCTTAGGGAAACTGCTTCGGGAAGTGATGCCTCATTGCCGCGGGTGCGAGGTTCCTTTAGCAGCATACATGCTGAAATACAACCGCATTTCCTGGAAATGTGCAAACATGTGCTACAGCGCTAATCACATTATTATTCTGGTTTCTCAGTCCGTACTGTTCAAGCATATGTCATATGTCTATTCTGGCAAGTAGTATTTCCAGCTATCGGCAAAGTTCAAGGGCGTAGGTAGCTTGTTGGATGGCGGCAAAGTTGGGGAACTGCTTTGAGCGCAAAAGCGCCGCATAGGCAGAATCGAGCTTGGAGTCGTTTAGTAGTGTTTGCTCTTTTCGCACTATTGTTTGCACTGAGCTGTAGACTGAGCGGGCGCTAGTCACTAAGCGGTCTTTCTACGCTCCCACGCCAACCTTCCTCAAAGAGCCACTGCTTTCATCAGGGCCTCAATTCAGATTCCAGACGAATCGATGAAGGTGTCGGCGCTTACGCACCTGCATTTGGCATTTCTGTGTGCCATATATGATCAACGCTTGGGCTTGGTAGGGATGCTTGATGGGGTTTTCAGAGTTTCAATATGTAAAGGTTCCTTCTTAGGGAACCATCACCATGACCCCCATCAGCAAGTTACTTGCTTAAGCAAAACGCGCCAAGTTCCGAGACCTTTGCCTCGGCATCGTTTCACTGAATCGCTTCGACTTGATTGCCAGGGCCTCGAATTCTACGCCTTTACGCTGCCGCACGAGAACACCTTCCAGGCCTGAGAAGGATTGGTCATGGCAAGAAGTTGGATTTGGGACACTTTGGCGGATTTGAAGGGAATTCCCCGAACACATCAATCTTTTTTTGTTGGGAGACTCCAAAAGGTTGAGTTCCACTTGTCCCTTCCAAGCCACCCGTTGCACCCTCAGAAAACAAAACGAGCACACAGTCACACACACACAGACACACACACACAGACACAGACAGAGACACAGACATAGACAGAGACAGACACAGACACAGACACAGACACAGAAACAGACAGAGACAAAGACAGACACAGACACAGATGCAGACACTGACACAGACACACACACACAGACACAGACACAAACGCACCCACGCACCCACACACCCACACACCCACACACCCACACACCCACGCACCCACGCACCCACGCACCCACGCACGCACACACGCACCCACGCACGCACCCACACACGAACGCACGCACGCACGTACGCACCCACACCCACACACACACACACACACACAGACGCACACAAACACATACACACACACACCCACCCACCCACCCACGCACGCCCGCACGTGCGCGCGCGCGAGCCCACGCGCCCACGCGCACGTGCACACAAAACAAAACACACACACACACACAAAAACACACACACACACACACACACACACACACCACACACACACACAACCCACACACAAACACAACCCACACACACACAAACACACACCACACCACACAAACACACACACACACACACACACACACAACAACACACACAAAAACACAAACACACAAAACACACACCACACACACACACACACACACACACACACACACCACACACACACACACACACACACACACCACACACACACACACACACACACACACAAAAACAAAAAAAAAAAAAAAAAAAAAACCAACATACAAAAAAACACACACACAAAAAACACACACACAACAAAACACACACACAAAAACACACACAAAAACACACACAAAAACACACACACACACACACACAACAACACCACACACACACACACACACACACACACACACCACACACACACACACACACACACACACCACACACACACACACACACACACACACACACACACACACACACAACACACACACACACACACACCACCAACAACACACCAACACACACCAACACACACCAACACACACCAACCACACAACACACCAACACACACCAACACACACAACACACACCACACACACACACACCAACACACACAACACACACACACACAACAACAACAACACACACAACACACAACAACACACAACAACACACAACAACACACAACAACACACAACCACACACAACACACACAACAACACACAACAACACACAACAACACACAACAACACACAACAACACACAACAACACACAACAACACACAACAACAACACACACAACAACACACACACACACAACAACACAACAAAAACACACACACACACACACCACACACACACCACACACACACCACACACACACACCACACACACACACACGCACAACACACACACACACACACACACTCACACACACACACACACCCCACACCACACACACACACACACACACACACACACACACACACACACACACACACACACACACACACACCACACACACACACACACGCCGCACGCACGCACGCCCGCACGCGCGCGCGCACGCACGCACGCACGCACGCACGCGCGCGCGCTCGCACGCACGCACGCACGCAACCCACCACACACACCCACACACCCACCCACCCACACACCCACACACCCACACACCCACACACCCACACACCCGCACACCCACCCACCCACCCACCCACCCACCCACCCACCCACCCACCCACGCACGCACGCACGCACGCACGCACGCACGCACGCACGCACGCACGCACGCACGCATGCATGCACCCACACATGCACCCGCACATGCACCCACACATGCACCCACGCGCACCCACGTGCACCCACGCGCAGCCTGTCTGCCTGTCTTCCTGTCTGCCTGTCTGCGCGTGGGTGCGTGTGGGTGCGTCTGGGTGAGTGTGGGTGCGTGTGGGTGTGTGTGGGTCCACCCACACACCCACACACCCACACACCCACACACCCACCCACACACCCACCCACACACACACACACCCCGCACGCATCAGGATTTTTGTCATTTCGCAGCCAGGTTGCTGTATGGAGGCAGCTGGGTGATGTGGTGGCAAGCGGCTACAGGCCAGGTACTAAGCCTAGGGCAGGCCTTGTTGCTAAGGGACTGGCCATATTTGGCCTTCTTTTTAGGCCAGCTGAACCGCAAATTGGATTCGACGGAGTTTGGTCGCGTTTCATTTGGGAATCCTAAAGGACTGGGCCAGCCACGGGCAGTCTCGCCTCAGGTTCGGCTGACAAAGGCGTGTTTGGAAACAGATGGCACTGGTTTTTGTTTGCTCCGAAAAGTTTCGTCATCTTTGCCAACAGCGAGGGCTGTATTTTTGGATCCCGAGAAACTTAAAACCCAGGGCTCCCCTTGAGAAATCTTCCCCCAAGTAGAAGTCCGCCTCAATGAAACGGGGCCCCTGTTGCTGCTTTGCTAGCGCCGGGGGCTGGTTTGCCAAGGTTGCCGGTGGACTCGTCGCCCTTGTTGGAACTCGCCTTAGTGCTACCATCGCGGGTTTGGCCGCATGAGCGTGTTTTCTTGCTGAGGGTGCACTGTCCACGAAAATGGAAAGCCTTTTGGACCTTACGGACGCGTTTGCAGGCCTCAAAGGACACTGTCCTGGACCCGTTGCACCTTTTTCGACGCAATCCAGCATGGACCCTGTTAGACCCCCCTTTAAGTGGACACCTTGGGACCCCCAGGAAGCCAAGCAGGAACGGACCTAACAAGGCGACTCGCGCCCGGAGGTGAAAGTGGTGGAGGGCGAGTCCTTCAGCCCTGGAAGGCCCATCGGGATGCTGGGTGCTCGAAGCGGGGGCTGAGGCTTTTCTGACGGGAAGCCGTTTTTGTTGGGCTTCAAGAGAAGCAAAAGGACAATCAACATGGGGTCCCTCTATTTAAACACATGCCCAACAATGAATTAAACTGAGTTCACTCCTAAAGCTCATGAATGTTGGTGCTGGATGCCCAAAGCTCTAGTTCTTTACCCTTGTTTCAAACCACGATGTAAGGTAAAATATTGATTCACCCAAAGAATTTCTGAGAGCCTTGATGAAGTAGGTGCTTTCCCGGCATGAGAGCGTCAACCCCTCGTTTCAACCATGGTTGACAAACAATCTTGTGACTTTCGTGTGAACGGACGACCGGGTCCTGGGTTAAACTGGACAAGTCGAAGGATTCTGACAAATGAGAGAGAATGAGCCAAAGTGGAGCCAATGTTCAACCAGCAAAGACATGCCTCCAGACTGCACTGCCTTCAGGATGGGTGCCCGCATCGGACCGCTAGCGGACCTCTACCAGCGCAAACCCTTTGACAGGACGGGAAGCAAGCACGAGCAAGCCTGCGAGCGAATGTCCAACCGGGTGCTGAATCAATTCGCTGACTTGTTTCAGGGGGTGCATCCCCTTTTCCAGAGTGGATCCGAACAACTTTGAGAAACCTACCAACTTCAGGTCCGTGGACAATTCCGCGAAAGGCATGGAAGATACCCAAAGAAACACGAACGGTCGCAGGCACCACCCTCAGGTTCAGTTGTTTTGAACTGTAGGTCTGCATCACCAACCTCACTGGCGGGGCACAACTTGATGCCTTCATTTCACCCTTGCATCCAGCTGCAGTTCCCTGCAGTCCCTTCTCCACCTTTCTGGGGTGGGTTATCAAAGATGTTCAATCCCTTGAATCGGTTTCTGTTCAATGCCTACTTGCAGGAGAGCCTGGGTCTACTGGGAGTCCTTCTGGGTGCCGGGTGCGCTGAAGTCCTGACTGTTGACGCGCAAGCGTGGAGAGAGCGCATTGGGGTACGGGTCAGGACGGGACAGGCCATCCTCCATAGCCCAGATGGTGATACCAACTTACCTTGAACAGCCAGCGATACCTGGGAGTTTCAACAGATGTGGGTATGGCTCAAAATTAAGCCACCAGCAAGCCGCAGGTTTTTAGTCATTATTTCCATATACTAGGGTTTCATATTGGATACCTATTTTTGGCCCAGGCCCATGTAAGCTGTGTCCCGGGATGGCAGGGGAGAAAGTGTTGCTGGTTTGCACGCCCAGCTGCGCCTGATTTGGATTTGAGCAGGCGTCAACCTGGACAGGAAGTCATTTCAGTGAGAGGCTTAGTCCTGCCTGTCCTTTGTCCAGCCTTCAACATCTTGTGCGCCGCGGCCAAACAACTACTTGCTTGGAGTTAGGGATGGTCATGACCCTCTAGCAAGGTTTGAGACAACTATTGCAAGGTGTCCTACATATCAAAGGAGTGACACAAGATGCCATGACCACGACCCACATATGCGGCTTTGACCATGGCACCTGTCATTCTTGTCGATTCTGAGCATTCTGCCACAGCTGTCAGCTTCGCCATGATGAGACTGCATCAGGCGTCTTGATATTTTTCCTCTGCGTGGTTTTAAGCATCACTTTTTTTTGGTTGACCATTCAAAGGGAGCTTGCTTTTGGGATGAATGTGCATGGACATATTCAGTTGCAACCTCGTTGACATCATCGAACATACAGGGCGATGCGCTCAGATATCTGCAAGGCCATGGCTGAGTAAGCTTACCCTGGAGCACAAAGAGGACGGGCCTTGTGGAGCTTGGAGTGCATAGGAGCATAGGACTCAACCCCAGCCCTTCCCTCATCCCACTCCCTTTGGTTGCCTCCAAATATGGCCTTGTTATGCTATTTTTTCAGGGGGAGGTTCGGGGAGGGGTGTGGGATCCTATGACAGCCTGGATGAATGACACTTTCCTTGTAAGATGATGTGTTGTTGCTTCAAAGTTGAACTTTTCTGTGTGTGTGTGTGTTGTTTGTTTGTCGCAGCTGAACCGACGAAATGACCAAACCACCGATCCAAGCCACCAATTAGGAGGAAGCTGAACTGACAAAATGACTGGAAGCCTGCTGTTTGTTTGGCTTGGGTGGACCTGGGGGCTGGCAGGCGCGCCCATCTGATCAAGCAAATAATCTTGTCTGGGGCTTGTTTGATTCAATTGAGATTTGTTTCGCCTCAGTGCCTATTTGAGGGATCCAGATGAGGATCATTCTCAAAACATCCTGTCATCTATTGTTGATTTGGGAGGGGCATGGAACAACTCCAAGTGTCAACGAGAATCCAGGGAGACTTAAACCACGAATTTCACATGCCCATTGGGTTAACTCTCATTTGTAGCTTGACGGATATGAGTTGATTCACCCGAGATGCTAGGCTTAAGCTAAGACACGCGAGACCTGTGTGAAGTTTTATGTACGCCGACCTCCAGTTGGTTTGGTTTCCTTTTAGACTCAACCAGGAAAGGCTGGATGATTTCTCCACGGCCACCGGAGGTTTGGGAGAAAGCGGGGCATCAGACTCCGCTCCGAGACTTCCGCAGGCGCCTGGGCCAAACCCTGAAGAAGCAGCGGCGACAGAGGACCCGTGCGAGTTCGGTTCCGTTCTGGGAAGGAGCTTTCCCATGCAAAATAATCCTGCGCACCGAGGGGGTTTCCATAAACAGTTCCCCAGTTCCGTTCTGACGTCTTGGGAACCAAGGGGCTTCATGCAAAAATCCTGCGAACCAAGGGGGTTTCCCATAAACCGAAAATGGCTGTGGGTCAAAAATGGGTATCCATTTTGGAACCCTATCAATTGGAACCAATGACAAAAACCTGCGGTCCCTTGTTGCTTTAATTTTGACCCATACTTAATATGGCTGACCTTGACTTGCCTATCCAGTGCGCCAGGACGGAGCTCGTCACTCCAAGGCTCGGTGGTGTTAGAACCAGCTGTCGACCGGTAGGTCCATGGATCGGTTTTGGAGTTGCGAATCTTAGATGCAGAACACCACTCGGCAGCATCATTCGTTGTTTATGGTTACTTTGAGGACGAGTGGCCGACATTTGTCCGAAAGCGGGTTATGTCTCTCATTGTCGTTTTGAAACAGCCAACATGACAGAACATAGATGGCCTCCCCCTGAAAGTGCCCCAAAAAAACTGCTTAAAACGCTCGCAAGGAGCACCACCCTGCTTCGAACATGACTAAAACACGGCAAGATGCCGAGCTTTGCTCATTTTTTTTGGGCTGGTTCTCAGCTGCGGAATGAGGGAACCGAACTGAACCATCCCTTGTGGCTTCCTTCCAAGGAATCCATTCTAGGTCCCCCAGTAGTGCCCCTGTTGCCCTTTTCTGGGGAGGGTCCCCTACTAAGATAGACTAGAGAAAAAAGGGTACCCTTATTCTAACCTCTCTACTGGAGGACCTAGCCATTGTTCATTCCCAACACCCCTCTTGATTCCCACTGATCCGCAAGTGTTTTTGATTCCCCATTCTTTTCAACCATCGTTCTTTCCAGAAACCGCCCGTTTTCTCTGGGTTTCCGGAGGTTTTCTAGAAAGGAGGATCCCTGGAAAGCATGGGGAAGGTACCCCTAGACAGTCGGTTTGTGTTTGTTTCTTAAAGGACTTCGGGTGGAGTCAGGCGGATGCCTTCGCCGAGATCTACCGCCGCGGCGCAGACCGGGCGAAATTTTATTGGAGTCGGGGGGTGCGATGGTGACTATGAGTTTATGCTGTGGATGCACAGTTCGAGCGACCTGCAATGCAGATGGTTTCACAAGCGACTAAACTGATCAGTTGGGACAGATGAACCCCACTGTCCATCTTCAACTTGTGCTGGTGGATGGGAATCACCCGAAGTAATTACCCACAACTGCAAGGGGCAGTCCTTTTTGGGGAAAGCAGTTTTGCCCGAGTCTTCGTACGCAGGAATTCCAAAAAAACAATGCCTGAAGTGAGTGGTTGCCTGGTGAACTTGAACCGAACGAGCCCAACAGCGGTAGCCCCAGAGGAGGTTCCTGTAAAGGTGGACGGTTTATCACAGTTCCATTTCATTTAATCTGCAGGAGAGTATTCATCATATCTTTGAGAAGGAAGAAGAATCCGGACATCCGAGCTGCTTCAAATGATAACAGGTTTTGATTCTGACTGATGTTGCCGGTGCCCATGTTTGACGGAATCCGACCAACCACCTTCAAATTGGTTGTCAAGCTTTTGGCCTTTGGCCCGTGGCTGACAGTTTGCGCTAGCACTTGCTACATTTGGTTTTCAGCGGTTTCCAGAAGGAGTAAGGTTTAGCATCCCAGGCAGAAAGCACAAGCCGGAATGCGCGATCCACTTGCGGCGCTTGTGAAGCGCATTAAACACTTGCATGTAGAACTTGGCTGCGTTGAGCTAACATCACAGCCGCCACCTATCTTATTCCTCAATAGCCTGAGCGTGTGCATCATATTGGCTAGTGTTCCACTCATCCACCTAGATGATCAGAAATGAAACCCCTGAGCATGTCTCATGTTTCACTGCTTAGTAATAGTTAAAGTCAATATGACTTTCCATGTCTACCAAGAATGTCCTTCCCCT